GAAGGGGAGAGGGGGAAAAGGGGGAGAAGGAGGAGAGGGGAGGAGGGTAGGAGGGGGGAAGGGAAGATATAAAAAAATTCGTCAAAGTAGAACTTACCTTTGCTAGTGAAATTTTTGGCAGGTTTGGAGTATTAATTATAAGATTATCCCAGTCAAACTTCTGATTTAAAACTTTCTTCAGCTCGCTCCACTTCAAACCAACATCTTCTAAGAGACAAGAAAAAAATATTGGTCAAACTGAATAAAGGAGTTTATGGCCTGTGTCTCCTCTGCTTCAAGTTAAGAGGGTTTGAAAGAAAAAATCCTTTTCTCTTACTGTCCCTATAAAAAACTCAGTGCAATTTGTGACAACTTTTGAAAAACGCTTTCTTGTGCTTTAATAGTTGTCACTTTGCAGGAAAAAATGTTATGAAATTTTGCATAAGTGAAAAAGAGGCGGAGACCTGAGAATGTTATATGGAGGCCCTGCTCTAGCTTTCTCAGAGCATTTTAGAGTTTGTTGGGCTGTTTTCCTATTTGCACTCGTGAAAGACTCCGTCACTCCCTAACCATGCGCTAGTCTGACTAAGACAACATGCAATGCCAATCAAGTCAGGCGCCATTTTCCCGCGCTTGGTCATATCCTGTTACACTCAACGATTTAAATTCAAATTCACGTTTTATCTACCCTTATCGGTTGAAATTCTCTTCAGCGTCATAGGATTGACGCCTGCGAGTCTCTGTTCAGCAAACACTTTATCACGCATCCAGTACTTTATGATGTTCTGGAACGGTTCTTCGTCGGAGGGATTTTTGAAATACGGATCCTATTGAGAAAAAATATATATTTGAGTGCCACATCACTTGACCGGAAAAACTAAACTGGCGTGAAAAAAATCCCAATCATTCAAGGTGAACGGTGAAAGAGCAGGAAACATTGTGTGTATTTAACAGAAAGACGAGGTTCTTAGCGCACTCTAATTCAAAGTGCTACATCAGCTTACCCCCAAAGCTTCTTGTGCCTTTCGAAAGAAAGTGTATATCTCCACAAAGTCAGCGAAGCTTTGTATATCTTCTCCTGCATTAAGTTTGTGCCACTGCTCCAAAATCTTGGCGCCTCCCGCGGTTTTTGCAAGGTATATATTAAATTCCCATTGCTCGAAAGGATGCTTACCAAATACAGCTGTCTGAAGGAAACAAAAAAAGAAACATACTTCCAGGGCTCTTGGCACGAAGCAAAAACACCACTGTATTAACTTTCGAACTTTGCAACCCTTAGGGACTGTTATGTATTTTCAACAATTTACCTTTATCCGGTAACTCTTGGTAGCTATTCATTCACATATGTGTAATTTTTTTACTGATATTTGATGTAAATTGAGTGGTAGGTCATGAAGATATTAAAAGAGAAGAGACATATTGCCTACCCAATAGAATGAAATAAAATCACAAAGAGCCGAAAATGAAAGATGTTATGGAGTAGTTAATCAAGCTTTACGCTTAAAGTCGTTAGTTTTGTATCTCAGAAGGGAGAAATGACTTTGGAAGGGAAAATGTCGCTTCTGAAAATGAAAAGGTAATCGCTAGTGTGTGTTTTTTTTTTCAATCAACCATCATCTTAAAAGGCGCTAGGACACAAGCAATGTTTTTAAACTGGAGCGGCTTTGATACTATGATTTTTGTCTCAACCTGTAGATCACATACAATGCTGGAGAAATATCTCCTGAATATCAAAATATCACGAATGAACCGTGAATGAAAGTTTTATTTCCGTAATTGTGATTACGTTGATTTTGCTTCCACAGCACTCGGTCAAAATATTCTCTGAATTGCTGGAGACTAAATAATAAATCAACAGTCTTCCGATAAGCGAAAATATTCGTCTGCAGAACAACTTACCATCTGATCATATGTCATGTTCAGCCATCTGATTGGTTCATCGGGAAGAAAAGAAATCGGGGCTAACTGATAGACTTTTTTATTAACCAGCAGTTGTCGATAACGTCTTTCTTGGCAAGCCCTGGAAGTCTTCTGTGAAAGTTCAATGGGACACACTTCGCCAAAGATCCCTAAAAGATTTGACAATATCATTGGTTTTTTTCCTCTTGAATAAACCTTCAATTTTTAGTTTCAATCTTGAAATCATACAAATTCTACTATAGTAATCAGTGCTAGAAATACTTCGGTTGTCCTTCTATTTGCAACCCTCTCCTCAGTCCTAACTCATTCCTCAGTCACCCCTTGATAGTGTGAAACAATTGACAGGAGAAGTAGGAGGGGGAGGGGAGTGGAGGAAATTACTGCGAGAGTTTCAACTTTGGCGAACACGTGTCACAATTAATCATCGCCATCTTTACCCTCACTAAACCTGTACCAAGATCCCCCAAATGGATCTCGTGACCATTCGACCGTGGGAAGGCACAAGGCTAGCATAATGCAGGAAGAGGGAGACTGGGTATAGGAAAAGGCCGAAAGATCTAATTGATCCAATTCTGAGCTGTTTAATTTAACTTCTGTAATACTTACCTGCGAATCCATTTACAAGACATGTCATGCACAGGAGAGCCACGGAAATTAATTGAAAGCCAATCATTGTGATGTTGCTAGGGTATCCTGTGCAGAGAAGTACGAGTTAATATCGCGTTCAAGGGAATATTCTGGTTTCTTCTGATACTGAACGGCGAGCGAAATTGAAAAACCAACTTTAACAGAGACGAAAGGAGGGCCTCTCTGTCTTTAAATCTCAGATTTCTTAGCATTTTACACGCCTCTGAAAGTCAGGTGTTCCCATAAAAAAAAAAAAACTAATGTTAAACAATGAAATCGTTTCCTTAACAAACAGTCGGTGTTAAAGAACTTTGCTTTTAATAAGGAGAAAAGAGAATGGTTAATCATTACTCTATTTATTTGCTGAAGTGGGATTTGAAATGACTGAACATTTTCTGGACTCGAAAAAGCGTGAGGTTAATAATTTTTTGAATGACTTTCAAAACTGAAATGACTTTGAAAAGCTTGTGGAACTAAAACTACTGTTAACAGACTCTTATCAAACTTATTATGTCCACTCAGTATTGAATCTTAAATACATCATTAGCTAGGCAATAGTAGACAATTCCACAGCAGCGCAGCAATGGAGTTCTACATACATACCTTCAACCCAGTTTGCTCTATTCAGGAAGGAGTTTTGAAAATATCGTAGCTAAATTGTCTGCGATGGCAGCAGACTTAGACATGAAATAAATGTTTCAGCTGTGAAGAAACCTTTTCCCTTGGTAAACATCTGTATACATAATTATGGTCCTTTGAATTTTAATGTGTTTAATCAGGTGACAATTTTACTTTTCGGTATTAAGGCTTGTTGACAGAGTGTTTATCTTTTATTGTTCCTGATAAAATAAAAAGCTTCTAAAGAACAAAAAGACTTTAAGCCCTGACGTCATATCTTCGTACAAACTGAGTGAGATCAAGCTATGCTATCCGTTCATTAACAAGTTACAGGACGTGAGGTAGAAGCTGAAGGATTCTCTTGCGCAAATTGCTCCTATTTACCAAAATACATAGCTTCTGCAACAAGATTAACCTAAGTTGGGACACTCACGAGGATTTTTCGTCACGCGTGAGATCTCGCACGGCATGTCTCCCTGTTTGAATATTTTAGCAGGCGCGGTCGTGAAGAGACCGAAGCCTTTGTTTAGAATCTGCGCTGACACGGTCAGCCACTAATCAGGAATTAGTCTTTGCAACCAAGTTCTTTTTCATCGCTATTAGGTCACAGACTGTTATACCTTCAGAAAAGTCGAAAATGCTCCACGTACAAACTGATAAGGAACAATAAAGCTTTGGTTTGAACTGCAGAAAGACTTGAGCGTGATTCAAGTCCATTCATACTATTTGTCTAATTCAGAGTCCTTCAGATGCCGCTAATAAGTCATTTTATAGTAAAAAAAATTCCAGTGGTGAAACTAATTTTGAAGAAGGGATTAATAATTTTGTCTTTCTTTTTTCGGTTTGGCTTGCCAGTTTTGTGAATAAGGCTCATTGAAAGCATAAATTAAAGTCTTTGTCATCAAATTTTGTTTTTTTTCGCGCCCTTTCCATCCAACTAACATTCTAATATGTAATTTTAACCACCAGTTTTGTGAATAGGGTTTATTGAAAGCATTAATTAAAGTTTTTATCATCAAATGGTTTTTTTTTTTCGCATCCTATCTACCCGACTAACATTCTAAAATGTAAATTTAACTGCATACACGCTTACACTCTGGGGCACTAGCAAGAAAATTCGGGTTGAAATAAAACGGTCTCAGAAGTTTTTCATACCCAAAAATCAAAATTTTCAGTCTAAAGTTTTGGCAGCGCTGTCCTTGTGATTCTCGTTCAACATTTAACGCGAAAAAACAGTATCCCTTACCCAAAACAGAAAATGACGTCCGCACTCTTCAAGTTTCTCCTCGGCCTTGTTTCAATTCTGGTCGTTAAACAGAAAAAAGGCCTTGATATCACGAATCCTGATAGCTAACTCAATTAGCCTTAGCAAAGACCAAAACTGATATGAAACGATACCACGTCGTATTTGCTGTTTGTGCAAATAACAACGTTTTCTGCTTTGTTAACACACTTCTTTGAATAGTTATTACACGATCCTCGGTGTTGACTCTTAGCTCATTACATGCTTGTAAGATATCGATTTGCCTTTGTTGTCTCGTTTAGTATTTGGCTGTAATTAAATGGTGGCTTTGCAGATCGTACACAAAGATCCCATAGTGACGTATTTTATTAAATAGAAGAAACTTAACTTGCCAAGTCGGAGGATGTGAAAACTTTCATTATTTCCGCGGTTTGCTTTTTGGTTCTTTATCTTATTACTAAGTTCCTGCTTATTTCAACCAAGATGTTTGCATTGTGTAGATCTGTTGTTTACGGTGGCTCGTAAGTGCCATGCAAAAATTGTGATTTTTTTATCGTTTTAGCGACTTTTTTAGCAACTTTTTTTAGCGACTTTTTTCATGTTTTTTTTATCGTGTTTTTATAAATCTGCTGTGATTGGGAAATTGGCGGGTACTGAGAAAGTCTTTTATCGAACTACAATCTTAATCATTTCAGTTGATATTCTACTTTTTTTTTCTTTTCTACACTTGTTTTTGGTCTGCATGCAGGGTAACTAAGAATCGGGAAAAAAGTTGGATTGTCGTTTCAGGTGATGAAATAACGCCCCGCATAAACCACACCAGATATATTAAAAAAAAAACGCAAATTAATTTAATCTGGGCCTAGCGATCATGTCGAACAGTTCAGCGAAATTTTCAACTGAGGATCGTAGGTTATTTAGGATTAAATTGCTTTTGTTTTACTTCACTCTGTAACATGTCCAGACAACCTGCGCTTTCTCTTAAAAAAAAACCGATTTTATGTATTAAATGCAGATTTTTACTGGTAACTTTGCTCAATTTAAGAGAAAATCCTCGATAACCACTCGAAAAAATGATGAGTTTATTGAGGCAAAACACCACTTTCGATAAGAGTTTGCATAATGGCACATCAAATGATGCTTTAAATGATCGGGTCTAAATGTTATTAACATGTAGACTTTAAAAAGTAGCTGCCTTAAACATATTGGTTTTTGCATCGTCTTCTCTTTAAAATTTTTTTTTTCGATTTACCAAAAGCAAGACAATATCATATTCTCTGGTGCATATTCTCTTGCCAGTAAGCTATTGACTGCTTTTTTAGCCCACGCTGCTTTTGTTGTTTTGTCAGAAACCGTTGTAATATCCAAGGCAAAACACACAGTTTGAAAGTGAAAAGAGGAAAGGTATCACTGTATCGAGCAAATGATATTTTATGTAAAATGAGACGAAGCGTCTTTTGCGATTTCGCGACCACGCCCATAGTAGGGTGGCCTGGCTTGTAGTTCCTTCATTTATCAATAAATATTAACATAAGTTAAGTTGATTGGAAATCAAGCGATTTATCTTCGTTTTTTTCTTATTATTATTTTAAAATTCTTAATTCTGATCACGTTGATAAAAGCAAGAGACTATGAGTCTCTTGATAAATGTTATTCACGATTTTACTGTTAAAACTTGAAAACATTTTGGACTTTTAACGCTGGACAAAATGCGCCCCACAGAAATCGCGGGCTCGACATTCTAGAAGTTTATTGACGTCATATGGTGGTCTTGCATAGCTCGCAATCCTCCGCAAACTATTCTTAGTTGAAACTCAGGAACGATCTTAGAAGTAACTCCTTTTCACGCAAAGTCTTCGATTGTCAGCCTTACAAAGCTTGGAGAGACTTCAATCTCGAATTCGGACAATTTCACAAAGCGTTTCCTTGAAAAGGTAAGCAGATTTCCTTCTGTTTACTTGATTACTTACTGCCGTTCTGTCACACGATTCACGCTCGGTTACTCAATGACTCAGGGGGTTTTAGGTTTAGTCAAATGGTGATCTTCTCGATCGATTTGATCGGCGAACGCATGTTTGAGGGCGCTACAAGGGGGTCTCCATTTATTCTCACCGAGGTGAAAGTAAAATTTGATGTATTTTAAAGCAATATTGGGCCTTAAATGACCACCATATTTAGATTGCTTCAGGCGGCTAACTCTGCTTCTCTAAGATCTGTCTTCGACTAACCAAAAGTATACAATTTTTCTTGCAAAATCTCACCACTAATTCTGTCTCATCCTAGCTACAAAAATGCATTTATTGACGCCAATTTCTTTCTGGCTGGTTATGTCTGTTGTACCAGCTTCAAACTGAATCACTATTCTGTGAATATTTAATGACATTTAAAGTTAACTCAAGCCTTTTAATTCATGATAACATGTAACGCTACCAACCTTGGGAACACGCAATGTCGGTATCTCTACGTTACCTGTAAGTAGGTCGTACGCGGTTTGATTTGAGAATTTTTTCGCCGTTTTATTCAAATTTAACATGTGGATTTGGTGATATGTTTTGATTATCATGGTTTTCTTTTTCAGAAAGCTAGGAATACGAAAGCAACTTGTTACTTCAGCAACTGAAAAGAACTCCGCCGTCACGAGTGTTACACGTTAATAATTCTTTATGCGTCACGCGACAGCATTCAATCTACGATTACTTCCGACTCAAAAAGAAGTCTTCAGCCAACGATATGTCATGTGTTTAGACAATCTTAGAAATTTACGATGAATCTCATTAAAAAAAGTCTTCTTGAAGGGAGGAGGGGGGAAGATGGTTATTCATACAATTTAGCCCAAGCATGCCCGCAAGAAGCATCTATTTCGCATTCCGAACCAGTTAGAAATCATCCTAGAACAACGAAGCAGAGTAAATAATAGGTTTTCTAGTTTTTTACTTATCAAATTTGTTCATGAAACTTGTTTTCGCAGATCATGGGCAACGATCCGTCGAAAAAAGGAAAAGAAAAAGCAACACATCCAAAGATAGTCTCCAAAGGAAAAAACAGCTCCAAAAATCTCCGTTTGCTGATTTTACACGAAGCGGAATCCAAACCACCAATCGATGCTGTTGATCATTTTTGCGACGCATTAAACGCCTGTAAACCTCCAGGAAGTTTAGAAATCAAACAAGAAGGTGTGAAAATCCTGGAACTTGACGGTTCAAGTTCTCTTTCTGGGTCCTTCCTCACGGAGGCGAAGAATTGGATTATCGAATGGCTGGATAAAGATGGCGTGGTTCTCATCTGCTTGTTGTCAAGTCAAGACGTACACCCTTTCGCAGAAGATATTAATTTCCAAGGAGGGAAGATCGTGGCGTTCTCGTTTGGAAAATGTCCGACCTCATGGAAGGAATGTATTTCTTTGAAAGTCGACCTCAAAGCTGTGAGTAGCCCAAGCGATTTTGAAGAGCCGTTGAAAGAACTTGTTGCCACTGTTAGGGCAGAGTGAACTGAATGGAAGTGGGTCATCGAGATCTAGAAAACAGCATCTCTAAATTAGTAATTTTAACTGAGCCAGATTGTTGTCAACAATTCCCGCTTTGATTGGTCCAATAATTAAATGACGTCACCGTCTCAACCAGTCAAATGGGAACCTAAGCCTTATCGTGTTTTTGTCATTCTCGTTTTCTCACTTTTTAGGCCGAGTACGTGTTTTTTGAATTTCCATTGACTCTTTCCTCCTCCTTTGAAATTTTCCTCGTAATAATTTGAGCATTGTTCAATTCCAGAAAATCACTCAAATGTTTTAAAATCACGTCAGGAATAATGATATCACAATGTAAATGAAGCAACAGAGATTGAACGGTGATCGGCCAAATATTTGTAAAACATTTATAATCTGTATTTTGAAGAAATTAAACTAGTTTGAGAAAGTGATATTAAAACCGTTTGATCCTCAAAAATTTCCATTAAGTTCAGCTGATTTTGCGCGGGCTCGTTAGTTGCAAGAATAAATTTTTATTTTATGACTTACTTTTTCTATCGATCTTCGAAGATCACCTGTTTCTCTAACGAAAGCTTGGTTTACAAAACCCTTTCTTAATTACATTTTCTTTTGATCATCTAAAGCAATTGCACAAATGAGTTCATTCAGACTAAAACTATTTGCTAACTCACGTTGAGCGCTAAACAAAAACCACTAAAGTTTCGACATTTAATGGCGTCGACTGCAACTATGAATCGTTCGGCTCAAAAATTTTCTAACAGATGTCGAACGTGATCGGCTAGTTTTGAATTGTGTACTTAGTTGCCAAGCCTTTGATTTGGAGTGAGGCTGAAGGTGACCTTGTAGTAATGGAGATCAGTATCTAGTTTGCATGATAACAAATTAATTTACATTTGAAAAGCAGCAACATTTGTATCGAAACTAGGTCACCTCTAGCCTCACTCTTTTTCGAAGGCTTGGCAACCAAACATGCAACTGTAAAATGGACTATTCTTAGAAACCAGAGCTTGGAAACCAAATCTCACCACGGAAGAGAAAGAAGGAATTTGGGTTTTTTGAAATTGAATGTAGTTTTTTTTTTTTCTGAATTCGAGAGAGCGGAAGTGTGCTCTCCAGTGAAAGATGTCGCCTTAAGACCATTGTGAGACCTTTGTACTGATAAAGATATTTTGTGACCCGTGCAGACTATTTACTCTTATCACGAGGAGAGCATAAACTGCCATATGACTCGTGATCGGAAGTGTTTAGACTGAGAGTATGTAAATATAATTGCGATGTTTAGACTCGGGCGTACATTTGAGAAATAATATTTCATAAAAGCCATAGACGATTTTTTTTTTGTTTTTTTTCATAGCCACACAGCCTCAACTCAACACTGGCGCGGATTGGATCGTCCACACTAACCGTAATCAATGCGAATTAAAAAAAAAAAATCCACCTCCGAAAGCGATTTTAAAAAGTTGTGGATTCATCAACCGTATTTAGCGGATATGTGTAGGAAAAAGGCAAAGCCATCCGCAAAAAAAAAAAAAAAGAAATATCCGGACACGTGTACTGAGACAAGGCCTGAGGTTATACAAACAAGATAAGAGTCCTCTATCTCTTTAAAAATTCAACTACGCATAATAAATGAAGGCAGATTTTGAAATATCATTTTTAAATCAAATATAATTGACGGAGAAATAAATTAGATTTATTCATTTAAGTTTCGAAATGGAATAGGTACTTTTCGGAGAGGGAATATTTCGCAGATAGACTCGGCTGATCTTAACTGGCAAATTAAAAAATATCAATACTTTCTCTTTGGACATGTTAATTAAAACACTTTATTGTTATGCTTCGTGGCAGGTTAAAAGGAAAACAACATTAAAAAGTCATAACATTTGCTGACAGTGAAAATGATTTGAAATCCGCCCAGATTTAAAAGTGAAAAATACAATTTCATTTAAAGCGGTGAAAGGGATTGATTTTGAAGTCCGCAAGTATTGTTTTATTTCATACAAGTTTTGCTGATCAGAGATGGGAAACGACTCTAAAAAGGCGAAGTCGGCTAAAGAAGCGACAAAAGTTGTGGTTCGCGGTGAGAAACTGAAAAACATTACCAAAGAAGTGCTTTTCCTGTACAAGCCATTATCAGAGCGTACAATCGAAATCATGGAACATTTCTGCGACGCTTTAAATCAGGCCAAACCTCCTGGCTGTGTAGAGGTCTCGGGTGAAGACAATGTTGTGAATTTATTGAAACACGATCGCAAGGTGGTGAAGGCACGGATTTTGAAATGGTTAACGGTCCCTAATAATGTTGTTGTTGTGTGTATCTCGAGCTCAAATGACCAAACGGAGAAAATACCGCGTGAAGATTTTATTGACGACGAAGGAAAGCTACCGGCAAAAATATTTCCTCTCTGTTTTGGAAAGGATATTCCTTCTCACTGGCGTGAGGCTGAATGTTACTGCCTTGGTTTGGGGAAACCCGAGACGGTAGAACGGCCAAACGATTTCGAAGGCGAGGGCTTGGATACGCTTGTAGCTGCGATTCGAGGAGCGGAGTAAAACACTATATAAGAACTCTACACAGATATGAAACATTTTTTATATGTGCAACATTCTTTTCGCTGTTCTGGCCAGCTTATTTGAAGACATTTTCATCAGTCCAAAGTTCGCTTTCGATCCAGCTATAGTTTAGGAAATGCGTTTAGAAGGTAGGGCGTAAATCCCATCTTATACAAAATTATTTTCTTAGTATAAACTATATACAAGTAGATTCAAAACTTCATGTTTTTATTAACACAGTTACATTAGGTTATGCTCTATCAAATTTAAGCGTAAACTCGCGAGCTTTCGGCGCTTATCAAATCAAGAAAAAAAAGAAATCTCGTGAATTCAGCCAATGGATTCATTACAAACTGCAAAAATTCATGTCTGATTCTATCATTTCTTCGAAAAAGTAACAACGTTGGCTTTTTAATCAATAAAGGTCGCTTTGAAAATGTCTGAATGCCGTGGAACCGCTTTTTTTCTGAATTAATAAAACAACAGAAAGATCAGAATTTCGTATAATTGTGTTATAAATTTTTTTACGACGCATTAAAAGTCATGGGATTTTTCGAAAGCATTATATTTTGATTAGAATTTGAAGGGGAAACGAAATGAAACGAGCAATTGAAAAAGGATTGAAAGAGTGAAATCAAATAAACGCTTAATTTGAGCTATAACCTTAAATAGGATCATACGACAAGAATATTTTCTTTTGTCTCTTTTCCCCATAATTTCTTAATCCACTTGATTTTTCCTTATCTCCCTGTCATGTGATTTTTTTTCTCCTTTACCTAGATAGGAACTACAGTAAAATCGCTCCAAATAAAGTCATTTTAAAAGTTGTCACACTTCTTTCGGTTTTGGGTTGGTGCCACATCCGTTTTAGTTTTTCGAGCCAATCAACTGTCAGAATAGGGCCAAACCTTCCTTTGCGTGACTTGCGGCTGTTTGTTTATCGACGATTTAAAAGTTCGAACGTCCAAGTTCTCATGAGCGAGTTGGAGCTTTGACTCGACGCAGGAGGAGTTCAACGTTTGGACCGTCAAAACCACGAAATTATTCGTTTCAAATTGCGGAAAGCTGTTTGTTTTGGTATTATACGTGAATTTTCAATTATCGGACCATACTATTTACTAGTCCAACCTCTCACGATTCCAATCTGCAATGGGAAAGGACTCCAAAAAGACGAAAGAGGCCAAAACCGCGAAACTCATCCCTATTAGCTGTAGAAGAGGGGGAACCAAGCGTGTGCTTTTCCTGTACAAACCAACATCAGAGCGCTCCAGTGTAATTATGAAATATTTCTACGATGCTCTAAACCAGGTGAACCCACCAGGCTGTGTGGCGGTGTCAAGTAAAAACGCTGTCAATTTATCGGAACACGATGATGAAGTAATCAAAGATCGAATTTTTGAATGGCTGGCGGTTCCAAACAATGTCGTCATTTTGTGTATCTCGAGTTCAAACGATCAATCCGCTATAATACCGCTTGAAAATTTTACCAACGACGAAGGAAAGCTACCGAGAAAAATACTTCCTCTGTGCTTTGGAGAAGAGATTCCTCCACAATGGCTTGAGGGCAAATGTTACAGCCTTGGTCTGGAAAACCCCGAGAAGATACAGCGGCCGAATGATTTTGAAGGGAAGGGGTTAGATTCGCTTGTGGCTGCGATTCTAGGAGTTGCGTGAAACGTCATTGAACTATAATCGCTAAATGTAATAATAATGCAATGTTGAAAATATAAACGTTTGTTGTATCCACTTCCGGTTAGGCATTCGAATGAAAAATTTCCCGTTTTTGCCAAACTTCGAGATTTTGTATTTATTAAGAAGGATGTATTTTCCTTTGTAATTTATTTCATAAATATGCGAAGTAAAATTGTATAAGAAAAAAATTAAGTATGTTACGTCTTAAAAATCGTTATTTTGAACGCATTTTGGAATAAAGTCGCCGTAATTATTAATAAGATTTTCCGATATATGATTATGTTTTGATGAAACTAAAATTTCAAGTTTTATGAGGGACGGGGTGAGATGGGGAGTTTGCACCAACTTTCACAGGAGTGATCTGGCGATCAGGCGTAATTTTCGTTTACATCCAGATACAATTCCCCATAAAACTTTCCGAAGTATGAATTGACAGCGTAGAAAAGAACCTTCTACACTCCGTTTTCCTTATCATGTGAGTTTTTTTCTTTGACCATGAAGGGAATAAAAAAGAAATTGTGTTTGCAACTCCAATTTCCGGTTTCTCCTTTGTTCAACCTCCGTTTTGTTCAAGAACCAATCACGTGTTAAAATAGAGCCGAACCTTCTGGAACATGTGGGGTGTTTCAAAATATTTTGGGCTGTTTTGCTACGAATGAGTAGGGTTCGCTCCAAATTTACTTGCTAGCAGTATGGCGAAAAGTAAAGATGCATATACAGTGATTCCAGTCGACGTCGAGGAAAAGGAAATGGAAGAGAAGCAGCCAGCTACGGACAAAACCGATCAAGCTGAAGATGAGCTGGAGGAACGCTTTGATAAAGAGTTTTGGCTGATGGTAAGAATTTGCAAGGTTGTATTTATCGAAATGTTTCATCTCTTATTCACTTTTCCATTCTTCTCTTCGCTTAGTGCTACGATTTGTGACAGGAGTAAACCTTACAAACACTGTACAACGTGGAAACACTTTGTTAATATTGTGTTTACAAATACACTTTAGGTAGCTCGTAGTAAACTAGCGACATTTTGAATTTTTTATTTACGAACTACCTCACCCATATGGCCAATATCAATATACGTGTTACTGTGTTGAACTTTTCGAAGTTATGTAGCCCTCGAGCACAAAATTCGTGCTCTTTGTATATACTATTTGCTACAAAATGCTTGGATTATTTGTGAATCAGTTCTTGAAACAGTACCATGAAATTCAAAGTTAAATATTCACTTGTAAAGGTCATTTTATTCCAAAACCAAGCGAAAATAAATCAAATATTGTTATTGATATGAGTTAAAACGTTAATTACACTATTATGGCTCAGTTCACGTAACTGGAAAGAAAAGTACTCAGGTAGAAGTTTTTATCCAGATCTAACTTCAAATTCTCATAACTGATTTACAAGGAAATGTAAAGCAGCTAGAGGGGAGAATTGATAGTCAGATCTTGGGAGTTAAATGATTAATGTATAATCATTTACCATTCACCCACCCAGAAAGATCTTCACAGCTAAAGTTACCAACAAGTGGTCCTAAAATAAATGTCATAGAAATAACCAAATCAATTTAAGTAATTGTTGAAGTATGCATGCATCATACTTAGGTTCAAAACAAAGTAAAAGATGCAAACCTTTCATGGAACAGAGCATTGGATGAGGTCAGAGTGGATCGGCTAATCAAAAAACATGACAAAAATGCTCTTTTAGTCATCATTCACAAATGGCCACAGAAGAAGAAATACAAAGATAAACCAGAACTGATCCCAAGCTTGGAGTATTTGGTATGTGCTCTAATTTTGCTAAGTTTTCTTCAGAGTGACAGCTAGAGTCCCGCATCAAATTTTTAGTACATTTGAAGGGGTTTTTTGGGCTGTTTAATTGTTTACTCTTAAGAATCACAAACAGCAATAATGAAGTTTTTTTAAGCATTGGTACTGTAAAAAGAAATTAGATGATAATCACTCTTAGGCATTAAGAGGTTATAAGGGGAACATGCAGAAACCGTTTTAAGGGTCAAACGACAATTAACTTCTGTCAACTGAAAAAATTAACTTTTTTTACATTTTCAACCTTAGATTAGTCGCCTAACAGAGATAATTCTTGAGAGGGACACCAAGGAAGACTACAAATATTTCCGTGTTCCAGCAGATACTGATCGAACCCGAACAACACTACTGCACCTAGCTGCTGAACAGAACTTCTTGCACGTTACAAAGTCATTGGTAGAATGCTACCCAGGTCTGATGTACATGTGGACTCGCAAGCAAGATGACAATCCTAGTTGTTTGCCCGTTGAGTTGGCCTTAAAGAAGTACAAAGATGACACAGCAGCTTATCTGATATCTCAAATGAGGCATGATCGGTAAGTTTCTAGTCTCTGTGAAAGTGTAGTGTGATTGTCCGGGTGAGTGTAGTCCTGAGAAGGACTGTTGTCGGTGGTAGTGACTGACGTTTCGACAACCTGTGCGGAAGTCATCATCAGAGTCAAGTGAATAGTTGTTGTCAGTAGAATGTTCTTATTTCTTATTATAAGAACATTCTATATGTCACTACAACCGACAACAGTCCTTCTCAGGACTACACTCACCTGGACGATCACACTACACTTCACCTGTTTCCCCCAGGTTCAAGTGATTTACTGCATTTCTAGTCTGTGTATGGTGCACACACTATGCCGATCTCTATACTTACCAGTCAACTAGGAATAAAAAAGCCCTGTCTAGGAACTTACCACAACTCCTAACATCCAATTATTAAATCTCTCTACATTCTGCCATACTTTTCACTGTAAATCAGACAGGAAAATTTGGTGTTATTCCAAAATGACACCCTCCAGCTAATGAGCTACTTTGTTCTCCCAACCTGTTAACTAGACAACTCATTGGAATTATACTCAGAAGTTACATGCATGTTCATCACGCTGGGAGTTGAGGGCTAACTTGCAAGAGCTAATACGAATCATCAAAACCCACACCATAAAATATCAAAGATTTTTCTATTTTCACTTTTCTTTACTACTTCACTCATTCATTTGTTAATTTTCCATTTCTGCCTCTCAATTTTATTACAAACCAATCAAGTTCATTTCAATAAATCTAGTTAGCAACCTAGTAGCTTGTTGGCTATTTTGCATTTGAATGTGTAGAGTTCTACATGAACATATGTTACTGTTCTGACGAACACCTGTTGATTGGCGTGGCGCTGTCTGTTGGGAAGGCCGAAGAGTGTCACATGTTTTTATTTTTTGATTTTCCTAAATATAATCAATAGGTCGTGATAGAAATAGGGTCATTTTTATTTTCTGTTAAGCAGTCGCAGATGTCGGACTTATGAGTTTTTCTGTCGTTGTGGATTCACTTTTTTTCATTTAAAACACAATTCGGTCTCATCAAAACAGTTACTTTTTAATCTGTTCTTAATCCAGTTCTGTTATGGTGAATAAAAAAGTTGATAAAAATTGTCAGTTAATTGTAAGTTATTTGATAGTGATGATATTTATCTCGCCAATTTAGAAATCTGATTTAGTATCTTGTGAACATGCAGGTGCACAAAATGGTGAACCAGAATAATTTTGATTGCCGGTCAGGATGCCAGATTGTGAAAAACTGGTTACCGGTATATGATATATGTACTTTTATTACTTTTTCAGAATTCATAGACTGTTCCTTTGTGAAGATGATGAGGAACAGACCACAGCAAAGTTTTTTTTTGGACATTATATTAGTTACCAGAACCCAAGGACAAATGAACCTGGCATGAAGGTAGAGAATTTGTGTAAATTATTGAACAAAGGCTACTCTATAATAGATTACGGCAGCTTATAGTGATGGCCTTTTGTTTTTATCCCCTTGAAATACATTTATTATTGTTACTAAAGGTAATAACGTGATTTTGAGCACAATGTGGTGTAAATAAGCACAACGAAATTTTTTATAAACAAAAAAAATTGTAATCTTTAGTCTTTGAAAAATTTACAACTACTACACAAGAAATCTTGTTATTTTTAATAATTTACATGAAAAAAGCATCACAGAAAATCAAGGCAGATGGAATTTTGACAGCTCACCCTGTTTGTAATTTGCACCTGTGTAATACAAATTTGCACTTGTGTTACTTCAAAAATGTACTTGTTTTCAGCCAATCAGATGTGCATATTTTTGTCATGGACGGTATTATTTTTGACACTTTCTTGTTGTTGAAGGGGTGGTGAATGTTACTTCAATCTATACTTTATAAGATGGCTATATAGACATATAAGTTGATTAACTTATTTTCTTGCAAACTCTTCTATCATGTTTTTTTGGTTACTGTATATGTATGTACAATAATTATGTATTTTATTTTGATTCAGAAAACAGTTATAGCTGTATTAGACAAGCTTATAAACCCTCATTGTCCATACCTACCACATGGACAAGAGGGTGACGAATATGAGGATGAAATCGAAAGATCTTTGAGCAGTGTTCCTGATGACCCCATGAACTATGACTTTTTTTATCACATACTGGAAGCCGATGAAAGCGGAAGACAGCCAAAAATAAAAGTGGCTACTGAAGTTGGTGATCAAGGAGCACCAATCAGTACTGAAACTGTATCCAACCTGAAATTTAACCACAAGTCACCTTCATGTCTGAGACAAATTGCAGAGAGTGGAAATAGGGTAATTTTTACTAGTGTATCCTTAGTGCAACCCAGATAATATGAAGTAATAATTGATAAGAGTTAACTGCAACACGGCTTAACATGGCTGCCATTACATCACAAAATTTTCCCTCCTCCTACATTCAACCTTAGCATGTTTTCAGGTAGCCTATGTGTAGCCGTACCCTTCCTCTGAGGAGAACCACCCTTCCGATTCTCCTTGGAAGGGGGGGGTACAATGACACATAGGCTAGTCCTCAGGTTTCCAATAGTTAAGGATACCCATTTATACACCATGGGGGGGTGGGTTGGGGTGGGGATAGGTATGGCGAGAGTAGAGTGTCTTTCCCAAGAACACGACACAGTTACCCAACCAGGTCTTGAACCTGGACCCAGTTTGGTTCTGGAGTCCAGTCCAGCATGGTGGCTACATTTCCAGTGCATCTAAATTAAAACACACATAGAGTGGAATCTTTTTTGATCTTGAACCTCGAGTGTCTAACATTTCAATTAATTATAACAGGCTTTCTATCACGGACTGAGTCCAGTATCACCAAAAATTTTTTTCCTGAAAATTTGACTCCTTAATAAATATCAGACGAAGAACAAGATCGAGTTGAACTCAAATCTCTTATGCAGCCGTTGTTTGGTCTTTTCACGCAATGCGTTTTCTTCCTCGCAAGGAAAGTAATATGAGTCCAACCGAAGCAGCCGTCGGAGGTCGTTGGTCGGGGAGAAAACGCGTGACTGCGTTTCGTGACTGTGTTGCGTAATTGCGTTGCGTGACAAACCCAAGCAGTGCCTGCGACGGAGTCTTGCTAAACGCAAGCTTGTTTTCGTTTATTTAGGCGGCAGTGCAACACCCTGTTGTCCGAATGTTAGTCTGAAGGAAATGGAACAAGTTTGCTCACTGGTGGTTTTGGTAAGAACCTCTTTCGTACAGATTGAATCTTCGTGTGTTCAGCCATCCTTCAAAGACCACAAACATATTTAGTTAACCCTTGAACTTCCAGATCTGATATCTAATTCTCCCCTCTAGCAGCTACATATTTCGTTGTGAGTTACTTACAAGAATTTGTTCTTAGATCAAGATAACAACTTCTACCTGATAAGTCTGAGTATTTTCATCACCGGTTCGTTGGATAATGTATGGATTATTACACTTCTGGAGGTAAAGGGGTTAAGCCAGTGAAATCTATTCTTCCCTTTCGCTTAGACTCCTGTCTATTGTTAAGTTTGTTTTTATGTTACCTCCTTGTTGATATCACCCTGATAAAATCGCTCGTTTTTTACCCATACATGCACACACACACACGCACGCACGCACGCACGCACACACACACACACATACATACATACATAAACTTTATTTCCATTCGGATTTATGAATAGCACTAGACGTGCTAGTATCTCCGAACATATAACTACAAACTAATGGCAATAAGTTTAAAATCGAAAGACTCTTATAAAACCTCATATAAAAATACTAATAATTATATACTAATCCCTACTAGATATATAACTCCTAATGGCACGTTTGAAAGCTGCTAGAGTGTCTGACATTCTTAATTCATCTGATAAGCTATTCCATGCAGAGGCAAGAGGCAGCAAGATACCTGAAAGAGTGAAGTCCAAATGTTGTGGTCTTCACCGCTGGTATCTGTAATTTCCTTCTACCCCTTAAATTATATGCACTTTGACTGCGCTCTTTGAGAAGTGATGTGATATACCCTGGAGCCATGTTGTAAAGGCCTTTGTAAACCATAGTTAATATGTCCTGGACTCTTTTATCTTTTAGTGATACCATATCAAGCCTGTTCAGTAAAGCTGAATACGAACTTGATCTGACTCCGAGGACTAGGCGAAGCACTCGCTTATTTACTATCTCTAGCTTATTAGAATTCCGTGCTACACGAAATGCTCTGTAGATCTTGAAATAGATAAACCAAATTTTCAAGATTGTCATTGTTAATCTTTTTCGTCCTTGTTCCTTCATGCTTTCATTATAGCCTCTTTCAATTTACTGGAACTGCAGTTTTGCAATTTTCTCCCCTGGCTTTGTCATCGAGGAAACCACACATTATTTCCGCAAATGCCAAATTTTAAATATGTTCCTTTTTCAGTGTTCAAGGCTCTTTCTACATCGTGTTTTTAACATTATTATCCTTCGCCCTTATCTACGGCTCTACGCTTGACGATCCAACACAGTACGGTGGCAGGGCAAATGGCCTGCGTTTGTTCTGTGAAGTTCTTACCATCATTTTCCTCATGTTTTACTTTTTCGAAGAGGTCAACCAAGCAGAACGGTGAGTTTTTCCACGTTGCTGAAACATTTTCAACAAAAATAGTAAGATTCAAGTTGAAAAGTAGCTTGACTTGTAGAGAATTTTTCAACTGTATGTTGAAAGTAATCCTTTTGGAATCAGTAAATTCTGGGTTGGCAATTATGTGCTAACAGTCCAAGAGAGTTAATTAACTGTCAATTAAATTGCTACGTTTATTTTCAGGGAATGGAGAACCTATTTCAAGGATCCGTACAATTATTTTGATTGGTTGGGTCTAATCTTGACGTTACTTGTGATTCCTCTTCGATTTGCCAAAGTCAGATATCAGTGGAGCGTGGCAGCCCTCGGTTATTTGTTTAATTTTCTGCGACTCTTCAAGTTTTCGTGCGTTACAAGGTAGACTAACTTAAATAAGTACATCCATAGTTTACAAAAGGTTAAGTTCTTTTGTCTGGTAAATAACTCAGAACTGAGAATTGTGAGATTTTTAGTTTTGATGCGTGGCCGCTATTAATTTGCTCCAACGATAGTTAGAGGTTTCGCCTCATTACAAGTTCGCTCTCCTCCAATTCGCTCTCGCCACAGCGAGTTTGCCCACGCATAGAGAACTTCTCAGTTTAAATACGTCACTCTAACGAAAAACATCTTGCACTTATCGGCTGATAATTTGTACCCATCTTAATCATATTTTTTCGTAGCCAAAACGTTTCTAGAAACGAGGCATTAGTTGTATTTAGCTATCCTTGTCGAGGCAGGTCGAACTCGTCGTGGTGGAAGCGAGCTTGCAATAAGGCGGGAGCTCCTTAAACTGCATCTGCTAGAAGTTTTCCCTCATCTTGTACTGACTTTCTTAATATTTTGCTCTGTAGAACTACGGGTCTGTATACGAAGACTCTTGCCAAGATCATCTATCGCGACATCACTCGCTTTAGTGTGGTGTTTGTTATCGTCTGTCTTGGATTCTGTGGCGCCATGTTCATGGCGCTCAAAGCTACTGGCTCTCAGGAGCTGTTCAGGTAATTGCAGTTTAAATCAAGTGAACGAGCTAAAATGAAATTGTTTGAAGTGTTAACCAGGAATAACATTTTTGTGTTTTTTTTTTCTTTCAGTAATTACGCCTGGTTGATGTTGGCTGCCGTACGAGCTCTTGCTGAACAGCAACCAGTTGAAGAAGATTATTCCAAGTTCAGGTGGAAAAAAGATTTTATTTCGTTTGTTACTGTAACTGGCGCGCTGTTTCACTGACAACCGTCATTTTTCGCGTAGCCTCTCGTCCGCTTGTCTGCAACAAGTTACATTTCCTATTCCCAGCAGCTGTAAATTTTAGGAGTGATTCGTAGTCTTGAGTTTTTTCTCCTAAACTTTTTAACAATAAAATTAAATTCGTGACTTTTCCGTGTCATACCGAGTTAAGATGGAATCCTTAAGCTGACGAGTCTGTTTTTTTTCTTCCCCCCTCCCTCCTCCCCCCTCCCCCCTAATTGCTCAGTAATCTACTAATATCGTAAGGAGAACTTCCACGCTGTGATTTTCGTAGAGTGAAAGCGGCGAATCCTTTCTAGTTTTAAACATTAAGGAACTACCAAAATGCGAATCTACGGAAAATTGTTTTGATCCATTGTGATGGATCAAATGTTTTTTGATCATTGTGATTTTTTGATGGTTTTTTGATCATTGTGATTGTTACTTCCAATACCTTACTCCACTTCAACGGAAGCAATTTTGTCCGGAACATGCATGTGGCGTTACTGCAAGGAACATGCTGCGTCCGTTTGAAAAAGAGTGTTGTTTCGGAAATTTTTGTGATGCCTTGCACGATATTGTGTCGTGTTTACGATTTGTTTGATTTACTTTTACTCGCCTTGCCAGTTCTCGAAAAGGAGATGACTCTTTCAGTGCTCCTTAATGAAACTTTTGTGTTGTTTTCCGCCTGTTAGCTGGTTGTCGATCTTGATACTTGTGGCCTACATGGCAATGGTGATTGTAATACTCCTGAACATTCTCATTGCCCAGCTGAGCTATACTTACAGTGAAGCAAAGAAGACCGCCAAGCTGCAATACGCTATCGATACCATGTTCATTGTGACGCGATTGGAGTACAGTAGACATTTAAGATGGGTAAGCAAAGCAATCACTCCAGTACAAATGTTTACAACGCCATTCACTTTTTTAATGAGCTAGACGCACATCTCGTCATAATGGTAAGATTCTGCACAATACAAACTCTCCTTTCGAATTTCACTTTTACCTTACGTGAAAATTCATATGCCTCTGAAATTTTCCATGTGAAAGGCACGTGAAGAACATTTGGATGCATGTGGGAAATCTTGTCCTCTCCACAAAGTGTTTTGAAATAGTTTTGAGAGTACTTCTTGAAGTGTACGTGAGTAAAACTTGAACCAACCCATACAATCAAGATTCTCAACGTCGATTTGTGGTTGGACCACTTGCGAATATTGAAACTAAGGGAATAGTTCCGCAAGTCCAGT